TTGAGGATAAATTGACAAGTAGGAAAGGGGCAGGACATTATAAGATGTATCTTCTACCTGCTCCTTTTCGAACAGAAAATATAAAATTTACATGTCACATGGGCAAAATAATTTGTTTTATATTTTCATTCTTAAGTTTGTTTCATTCAAATTTTTTTTTCTTTCTTGATTGTTTTTACTGTCTGTTCGAAATAAATAAAATAAATAAATAAAATAATATTCACTGCCTTGTTATACAGTATTCAAGTAAATGTATGTTGCTACTTTCTACCACTGGTAGTGTAATAAAAATAATAAAGCTAGTGAAAATGATCACATATTAGCATCTCAAAGGTAAAAAAGCAAAAGTAAACTGCTTTAAACACTGTTTACTTCTAGCTACATTATTTGTGACACACACACCTTTTTTCCAACCAGTACTTTTCTATTTCTGTTATTTCTGACAGTCCAAATATGTTCACAAGCTCAAAGACTTTCTCTCCATTATTTTGTCATTCCAACTATGTGTGTCCTTATTGTGACAATGACTCCACATATTTTTGCATGACATTTGAACATGACATTTAAACGTGCAATATTTGGTTGGATGAACTCAGTTCTGTTTGAGGGTTGAGAAATAGCTTTGTGGTGGTAAGTATTTAAACTTGAATACCCTCCTGTTATCAATTTGTGTGTCAGTATATGTTCTGAATATTCATGAAGTAGTGGAGACTCAGGCGGTGTGGGCAGGGGGATTTGTATTCTATTTTGTGTTTACAAATATGCATTTCAGGCTGACCAAGAAAGCTAAATATATCAATAACATCATAAATTACAGTAGGTAGCTTTCAATTGTAGTTAAAGTGCAAATGAGGATGTTAAATTGTGTCACAGTTACACCAGTAGTTATGAGTAACCCTTTAAAATCTGTAACATGGCTGCCCATGCCTTTTCAGCTTTTTAGCTTCTTATAAATGATAAAGTAGCCATAAATGGTAAATGGCCTGTACTTGTATAGCTCTTTTTCAAGAAGAGTTGATCAAAGCACATTACGCTACATTCAGTCATTCACCCATTCACAAACACACTGATGGTGGTGAGCTACATTGTAGCCATAGCTGCCCTGGGACTTACTAATAGAAGCAAGGCTGCCATACACTGACGCCACCATGGCCCCAGACCACCATGAGAAGACAATGCCAGTGAAGTGTCTTGCCCAAGGACATAACGACACAGAAAGCTGGAGCCGGGGATTGAACCATCAACCCTTCGATTTCAGGGCAAACTCCTACATCCGACATCACAGCCAGAAAACTACCTTCCTCTTAATTGTTTCTCTCTCTACAGCAGGTTATAAAAAGAGACTACAATTTGGTGGCCGTGGCACAACATGAACAGCAAAAAACTCCTGACAAGATCAGACATAGAAGACTGAACTAAACCTAAGCTTATTGTGAAAGATAATGACATAAACAAGAAATAAAATATAATAGAAACAAAACATTTTGTCCTTTCATATGAAAATTTAGTAGAAAAAAAAAAAACTTCCCGAACTCCAAACAGGGAATCAAACCCTGGTGCATTGCATGACAGGCTCCTAGACTATATTAGCTAAATCCAGTGTAACGCTTATCTTACTGTGTTTTTAAAAAACAATCTGCTACTTTTACATTACTGCATGATATACTATATGAATCCATATTCAATTACTTGTTTTTTCCAGTACCTACTCTTATACTGTGTTTTCATTGGATCAGCCAGGAGTGCAGCTGTCTTAAACACACTTCTAGATGATAATTATATTTTGAACAGTGGGATCTACCAAAACTGCTTGTTATCAACCAGGCGACTGTAATCCTTATAATGGGAACGGCAGATGTACAACAAGAAATACCTCACGTTGCTCATCAAAGGTGCAAAACCTCTAAAGATGTAAAACTGAGTCTCTCCCAGTTAGAATGCAGAGAGTTAGAGTCAGCGTGAAAGCTAAATACCACATGCATGCAATGTGTAAATAAACATATTGACAGTTCGCATCAGTTTCAAAGCAAACACGGCCCCAGCAACAAAACTGAAACTTGAATTTCATCTCACGGAAATGGTAAACGCACTAAAATTTTCTGTCTGCTGTTTAACTAATTTTAGACATGCAGTTTGATTTCGACTTGGTTAAAACATCAGCTTTGCATGCATCAAAAGTATTTTTATAAATAAAAGCTTTTTTAAACACCAGGGTCTTAATATTTACTTTATAGAAGAAAAAACAAAACATGATCAGTACATTTTAGTGAATGTTGTATTGTTTGAATATCAGGGATAGTGATAAATTAAGAGGATTTTTAAAAAGATATTAAGTTCATAAAATTAAACAGAATATAGAGTTGGGGATAAAACTATGGTCTACTTGAATGGACAATTCAGTATTTATCTGTTTTAATTATATTTGATTTGAAGTAATATTTATTAATTAAGAACATATTTTAAATGTAAAACCAAACCTAAATAGAAAATACATACTTTAAACGGTTAACATTGCTTTATGTCTAATCCGTGTATTTTTATTTTAAGCATCTGATTTTTTGTTATTTTCTTCTGTTTTGCTTAAGAGTTTGATGTTGTTTGACAGTGTCATCATAAAATTTCCTACTTTTATTTTTGAAATTCTAAGAAAAATTGGAGAGCAGACCATTGATGTGAGAGCTTCATAATACCATCCTAATTGATCTACAAAATCCTTAAAACGATTACTCTTCGCATTTAATATATTACTGTATAAAAAACTGTAACAAGGAACTTTTTTCCTCATATGCAATTTAATTATTTAAAATACAAGGGTCTTCCGTTAGGTTATAATTGGCTGTATGCATCATCTATCAAAGAGTATGAAAATGTAAGCTTTACTAAAATGGACAGTATTTTAATCTATTTCTAGA